TTTGAGGGCAATGAATGTTGATTTGGAAGTGGATGGTGTAACAGGGTTACTAGCTCGGTTGAACATTTGACCTTTGTTGCACGACAAAATTCGTGAGAAGCAGAAGGAGGACCCAGAGTTGGCAAAAATCATTCAAGACATTGAAGAAGGAAAAGAAAGCCCATTTGAAATGGTAGATGGCATGTTGAAGATTAATGGAAGAGCATGTGTTCCTAATGTTGATAACTTGAGGAAAGAGATCCTAGATGAAGCTCATTCTTCTGCTTATGCTATGCACCCAGGAGCAACTAAAATGTATCACACGATCAAACCATATTTTTGGTGGCGTGGGATGAAAAAGGAAGCGGCTGAACATGTTTTCACATGTCTGGTATGTCAGAAAGTTAAGGCAGAACATCAAGCTCCTATGGGAAAACTGCAACCACTTCCAATTCCAGAATGGAAGTGGGAAAGAATCACAATGGATTTTGTATATGGTCTCCCACCATCAAGGGGAAAGGATGCAGTATGGGTTATTGTGGACCGAATAACCAAATCGGCTCACTTTTTACCCATTAGGTGGAAACCATCACTGGAGACTTTGTCTCAACTATATATTAAGGAGATCGTCAGATTGCATGGTGTGCCAATTTCTATTGTCTCTGATCGAGACCCGAGCTTCACATCTCGGTTTTCGCAAAGTTTACATGATGCCTTGGGAACTAAATTACATTTTACTTCAGCTTATCATCCTCAAACAAATGGACAGAGTGAACGAACCATCCTAACTTTGGAGGAATTACTTCGATCATGTGTAATGCAATGGGAGGAATCATGGATTGACCATTTGCCCCTGATTGAGTTTGCTTACAACAATCAGTACCATAGTAGTTTGGGTGTTCCACCATATGAAGCACTTTATGGGAGAAAATGTAGAACACCATTATGTTGGGATGTAGAAGGAGCAAGGCAAATCTCAGGGCCAGAGATAGTTCAGATCACAGTTGACAAGGTCAAGAAAATCAGGGAGCATTTGAGGGTGGCTCAAGATCGACAGAAAGTTTATGTTGACACGAGTAGGCGTGAAGTTAATTTCGAAGTGGGTGAGAAAGTATTTCTCAAAGTGTCACCATGGAAAGGCGTAATGAGATTTGGTAAGAAAGGGAAACTTGCACCTCGGTATATTGGACCTTATGAAATCATAGAGAAGATTGGACCAGTGGCATATAAACTGGCATTGCCTCCAGAACTATCTCAAATCCACAATGTATTTCATGTTAGTATGCTGAAGAGGTACAAAGTGGATCCTTCCCATGTTATACAACCAGAAGATATCGAGTTGGGTCCTGATTTGACATTTGAAGAGGTTCCAGTTGAGATTGTTGATTTTCAGATTAAGAATCTTCGTAGGAAGGAAATTCCAATGTTGAAGGTTGTGTGGAGGAATCAAGAAAGTAAGAGTGCTACCTGGGAGACTGAAGCAAGTATGCGAGAGAAGTACCCTGAGTTGGTAGCGACATACTTTGCAGGTTAACAATCTTGCTTAGTAAGTTATGTTTTGAACTTGCTGATGTGCTTTTGTTGTGATAGCCCAGTATAGGTTTTTGAAACCTAAACATGGGAACTTGAGTGTTATGTGTTACCTTCTATGTTATGAATAGCCTAACCTAATCGTTAGGTAATGACTTTATGTGTGATAGACCAAGTTAAGGGTAAGTAAGAGGAGTTAGAGTTTGACTCAAGGTTAGATTTCGGGGACGAAATCTCTTAAGGAGGGGAGAATTGTAACATCCCGTTCCGGCAAAACCCATATTTTGATCGCTAGAAAGTTCACGATTTAAAATCGAGCATTTCGACACTATTTTGACGAAAATCGGATTATCGATCGATCGGATAAGTATACGTATTAATATTATATATATTACATAAAAGCGGACGGGCCGCATATATATAATTCCCGTCACTTTTTCATTCCACAATTCTCATCATCATCATTTACCATTCTCAACCGAGAGAAAACGAGAGAAACAGAGCACACGCGGAGCTCTCGACCCAAAATTTCAAAGCTCAAATTCTTGAGCCCTAGTGATCCAAAAATCCCGTAAGTAATGCCTAATTCATCTATACATCGTGATTTATCGATTTAGAGCTTTAAAAAGAGTTTTTGGTTCAGGAATTTCTTGAATTCCCGATAAGCCAAATTAGGGTTTCGGAGTATCCGGAAGCCGGATTGAGCCCAAATTTCATATACGAGCTTCCTACAGCGAGGTAATCAATCCTCTAGTTCTAATCCCTGAATTTCGGCTATTATTTAGGCCGGGGTCCAAACCGCTGAATTTAGCTCCGGCCAGGGTTTGATGTGTTTTTACCAAGAATTTGACCCGGAGCCTAGAACTAATATTGACGGGGATACTGCAGGGGATATTAGGACGGTCTCGGATTTTAATTCGGGGTTCGTTCGTGAAATTAACGTTTTAGTACGGGAAGGTTAAACCGGTGTTTGAACGACCAGAACTGGTGAGGGATTAGCACGGCATACCGGGTTTGTCGTATCACGATAATTATATTGATGCTTAGAATTGACCTAGGTGAACTAGAATGGCATGATTAGGGGTGTATGGACTTTTGTGCTATATGATGAACCCTGGACTGCTGTATGATATTATTGACTTGCCCTAATGGATATGAACCTTGTTTATGTGGATGATTGCATACATGTTGCCATTTGTGGCTTAACTGTTGATATGACTTCATGGTTGTTCGATAAGGGGTTTTGACATGGTGTGATATTATGGTTGTATTTGGATCCATAAGTGGGGGAATAAACTTCCCAAGGTGATATTATGATGTTTTAAGGAGGATGACTTGCACGAGGGTTTATCCCGAGAAGTGCAATTATACGACTCCTGATTTACCTATGTTGAGCCAATTATGGCCAGGTCAAATACATGTGCAAGTAACGAATTATGATTAAGCAAGATGAGATATGAATCATGTATAAGGATACCAAATATGAGTGTTGTGGTCTCACGGTCAACTACATAGTAATTAGGGCTCCCTATGCTATTACTCTATTATGATATGTATGATAGTCACACCTCTCATGTGGTGGTGACTGAAGAATTCTTATGAGATATGACCACACCCAGAGCGGTGTCGGGGTATGACTACACCCATAGTGGTGTGGGGTATGTATGACCACATCCGACGGGATGTTGGGGTATGTATGACTACATCCGACGGGATGTGGGGTATGTTTCCCGGGAGAGTTATTAGCATGGGAGTAGCCAAGAGCCTATGATTAAAACATGATAAGATGCATATGCATAAGTCAAAGTGGTTGAGTCTTTTGCTTATTGGGATATGAGGATGGCTGAGGTCCGATCCTAGTGTTTTGGCTTGTTTTCTAGATGTATGGTAGGGCTATGCTCTGTTATGAACTCACGATGCTATGATTATCTCACTCAGCTATGAGCTGACCCTCTTTTATTCTTCTTCTCTGCTTATGCTATGTGTAAGCAGATCATCAGCAGCAGCTGTAGATAAGTGTTAGGTGGGAGAGGAGCTAGAGTTGAAGCCAGGATGAGGTATGGTCTTCAACTATTCTGTGCTTGGACTACTACTCGGGATTTTGGCCAGTGATCCACACCGTTTTTGTAAAAATGTTTTGAGAACGTTTTTCATGTGCATACTAGCTTCTGATCTAGTGTGAGATATCCAATGGTGTGGAAAGTTAATGATATGTGTATATGTTGTGTAACTGTGTAAGTTGTGACGATTATGGTATGTATAAGTATGGTATGCAGTTGTGGAATATGAAAAGTGTGACTATGGCTAAGAAAAGCCAATGCATATGGTTGTGAGTATATATGTTTGTCATTAAATGCATGGATTCAGATAAATTATTTTGCAGGTTTAAGTTGCAAGAACTGTTAGCCCATTACGCGAGTAATTCATGTCGAAATTTTATTTAGGTAAATTTTGATAATTAATGTAACACCCGAGATTAATTTCGCTGCAATTGTATGAACAATATGATTAGGCAAAACCTATAGGGTAGGGTGTTACAAAATCATTCAAAACGTTGCATGGAGACTATGAAATTTTTCTTTTCACTCTAGAAGCGGGACTATGAATCGTTTATTTTGTACCATACTGACGGTTGAATCACAATAACCTACACCCACAAAATCCCAAAAACTTTGATATGATTATGAATAGCTTCTTATAATTCGGGGTGTTCAAATGGTTACCGTGATAATAACCAAACCAATTAAGCCTATATTTCATTAACCGTGGAATAAAATGTCATAACTAAACCGTCCAAATTAACCAAACCAAAGTTTAATTAGTTTGGTTAATCGGATAATCGGATTAACCAAATAACATAACCATGATTATCATCATCATTCAAGTTAATACATCATTCATCATCTCTGCACCTAATATAGTTAGCTAGCTTACAACAAACCCTTAACATAAATATTAAATACATGCCCATACCACTCATCAGGCAGTTAAAGCTCTCCTACAAAATACTTAAACTATGCATAGTTTGAGGTGATTGTCATGGTATTGTACGTAATCCTAAAGTCTAGTAGCTGTCCAAAATGTTTTGGTTTAGTAAATAGGCAGACCCATTTAATTTTTGACGCATAATGTTTTAGTTTGTTGTGCACATGGAAATAAAATAGGGATTCACGAAAGTTTGGTTTGGTTGGTTGCATGGAAGTATAAATAATTTGGTATATTAGGTGTATCATTAATTGGTTAATTGGTTTCATTGGTTAGCAGTGTTGAAACCAAACCAAACCACCTAAACCAAATAAGCAAAAAAATAAATAAAAACCAAACCATACCATACCAATTATCCAAATTAACGAAACCAAATTAACCGAATGCTACCGGTTAATATGGTTACCATGGTAACCAATCCGTTTGAACACCCCTACATATAACCCATTAAATATTTCATCTGCAACCACTAGATCTTCAACCATCCCCAATTTCACAACTCACAAGACTAGTAGTAATCATGAACTTAAACCCAACTTCAAGATGTGAACAAGAAAAAGAGAATGATACGTTGCCTCCTACAATTAGACAACTTTTGATTCTTTCCCTGCAATTGAATCCTTCTTGAATTCCTCATCAAGTCATCCAAACTCCCTCAACCTTTTCCCCTCTCCAAAAACCAAACACGACTATCTACTCACTTCCCAAATCTCCCAACTACGTATCTCTCTCTCTCTCCCTCCAGAGAAACACACAGTAATGTCCCGCCACCCCGAAACCAACCCTCATTTCGTCCGGCCACTCCAACCGCCACGCCGCGACGGCCACCGCCGTTCCACCCCACCACCGGTACTGATAACTCTTCCGGTCAGCGGCCCAGCCACTCCTCCTCCCCCGCCGCACCACCACCGCCAGCAGGAAGCCCCTGACCCAGGCAACCAGCACTTCCCTCTCCACGTCGACGACGAGTTACTCCCAACCCACAACAGGCCCTCGGGCCCAATCCGCCACCAGGAACGCGGACAGTTTCGCAGCCCATGGGCCATACCACCACATCACCCGCAGCATCTTCCTTCCCAGCCGGCCCACGGCCCAGCCCACGACGGCCACTACCAAAGCCCATGGATACCCCCGCCCTCATCCCACCCGACCCACGACCACGGCCCGCTCGTCACCGATCCCCACCGCCACGACTCCCAAGAGCAACCGCCGCAGCATCCACATCCACAACCGCCGCCGAAACATCCACGTCACCACCGCAAGCATCCGCCTCCTCACGACGGCGTCGGGCACCGGCGGGAACGGCGGGGCCCCGTGGTGCCGTCGCCGCGGAGGACCAAAATCACGACGTGGTGCGCCGCCGTGTGCTGCGCGATCTTCTGGATCGCGATCTTCCTCGGCGGACTGATCGTCCTCGTGGTCTACCTCGTCTACCGGCCGCACAACCCGCGGTTCGAGGTCTCCGACGCGACGCTGAACGCGGCGTACCTCGACGCGGGGTCCCTGCTGAACGCCGACGTGTCGGTGCTGGCGAATTTCACGAACCCTAACCGGAAGGTCGGCGTCGATTTCGGGAGCCTGATCGTGGATCTCTACTACGGGAGCACGCTGATCGCGACGCAGTTCATCCAGCCCTTCTCCGCGAGCCGGGCCGGGTCGCGGTTCGTGAACCTGGAGCTGGTGACGAGCCAGGTCCGGATCCCGCTGGAGGACAGCAAGAAGCTGGAGGAAGAGATTGAGAAGAATACGGTGACGTTTAACGTGAAGGGTGTGTTCCGGGTTCGATCCAAGCTTGGCACGTTCCTGGGGTATTCGTATAAGCTCTACGGTCATTGTACGATCGTCACGACTGGGCCTCCGAGTGGGATCTTACGTGGAAGACGATGCATTACGAAGCGATGAAGAAATCATTACAAGTTTAATACAATCAATTTTGGGGTAGTCTCATGTCTGATTGATTCATTGATGACATTACATGTAATTGGTATTTCGTTTATGAAACCTATTTTTCGGTTAACTTCATGCATCTTTGTGTATTCAGTGGATGACATTGCTAAGTGCTCGCACTCGTAACTACGAACAACTTCGTGTCGAACAATAAACCAGAACCTGTTCATGTAAGAAACTGGAACTCCAAACTACATTGCAATCTACCACAATTGGGGAGGGCTGTCGAGAAACCCCTTTGGTTTTATCTTCCCCTAAATACAAAATAGTATACAGATGCCTTGGTAAAATTACACTTACAGTTGCAGGTTTCGAAACACTTTGTATTCGTCAGTGACTGAACCTCTTGATTCTCGTCGTTATAAAGAATACATAGAAAAGCAATCACCCATATGGTACACTCTTTAACCACAAGATGACATTAAAAAAAAAGCTTCCTTTCATGATTATGGGAGGCCACACATCGAAGATTATTACTATCCATCTTGTTCTGATTCAAAGTCTCCTGTAAAGGTCCCGTGAGAAGAAAGGGTGCCCGAGGGCGCTGTGAGCCGTTAGCCTGGTTGAAGGGTCGTAGCGAAGGAGACCTTGCAAGAGATCGATGATGTCGCCCGCCGAGTGATCCACGTGTTGCATTACTAGATTCTGCCCAAAAGCAATTGCATAAATGGGCAACCACGAAATGAAGCACAAGCGAAAACAAATTCAGCTTCAGTGAAGGAAGAGCTATATACCTGAAGACGAGGCAGCTTCATGACCGCTTTAATGCTGTCACGCGAGGTTGCATTGTCAGGCCAATCCAATCTACCTCTTCTCACGTACTTCTCAGCGTGTCGACTGTAGATGAGCACAGAAATGGAGCAAGACAGAGAGAGTAATAAGCAAGGGAATTGCTTTATTCCATGATGGAAAAAATAGAAATAGGAGAGAGAGAGAGAGAGAGAAGACAAACTCCACTCTTTTCAACATCTGCTGAGGCAATGAACCTAACACTCTTTCCATCATGGCTAAATGCTCCAAGTTATCGTGGGTCTGGAACAATGCTTCCCCCTGGAATTTATTTTAGTGCTTTAGCATCTAGAAAGTGTAAAAAATGTGCCAATCCAAGGCTAGCAAGTGATCATCCCGGGAAGCCGTGAACTTACTGTGCATAGTTCTACCAATATACATCCGACACTCCATATGTCACAAGAGTAACTCCAACCAAGGCCTGCAAATTGGAGCAAGCTATTGATATGAGTTTCACTATCGAAAACAAGGACAGAAACTTGGTTTAAGGGGGTAAGAGATTAGCATTACCGAGGATAACCTCGGGCGCACGGTAATGTCTGGTGGAAACAATATAGTTGTGATGCTTATGGCCATCAGCCGTGCTGCCAAAATCAATGACCTTAATGGCACTAGACTTCGGCAACCTCTTGTAACAGGCTGCCTCACTAAATGAATGTACTGGAACCTAAACAAGCACCAAAACTAGATTGATTTAAAAAGGAGAAGCAGGAGAGAACTTCTGTCATTATTAGTAGTATACCAAGGAAAGTACCTTGTAGTCAGGAATTTTCACATAATCTGGAGAAACAAAGAGTATATTCTCTGGCTTCAGATCGGTATGGACAAGCCGCAAGTCATGCATAACTGCAGAGTTTATGGTATAGAGTCAATACTAGTATTCAGAAAGTATCCAGCTTCCATGCTCATATTACTTCATTATTAATCCTTGAAGTGCGGAAAAAAGGAGAGTGAAGAAGATAGTGAGGGGAACTAGGAAGTCCCCATCATAGGAACAGCTTTAAATTTAAGTTTCTCTGAACAGCATAAAACATGCAGCCCAAGAAACTTGAAAAGCATAATAGATGGTGAAAGGGAAAACATTTACACACATGCTACACATTCCAAGAGTTGTCTGCCAAGCTCACGGACAAGGTCAACTGGAAATGGTCGATAACTATTTTTACGAAGAAAATCGTATATGCTTGGTCCAAGCATCTCAAAGACCTGTTAAACACACATCATTTTAAAACCCATCGTCTCAACCCCCTGAAATTGCACAGAAAAGGCTATTAATCAAACTTGGCTACATTAAACATTGGATACTTACAATGCATATATGGTTCCGGTAGTCAAACCAGTTTCTTATTTGTACACAACTGCAGAAAATAAAATCATGTGACTCAATACTCATGAAAATATAAAATGAAATAATAACACTATGCTCAAGCTGCTTTAACAGAGGCAAAACTCACCGGCTTCCATTTCTATCATACTTTCCAAGCAACTGGAGCGCATCAATTTCGGACATTGCTGCCTCCCGGTATTTTTTTATACTTCTCACAACTTTTACGGCGACCATCTCTCTTGTTTCCCTATCCCAGCATTCCAAAACCTGACCAAAGGTTCCTGGAAGAAAAAGAGAAACTATTTAAATATGCCAGCCAAGGAAGAAAAGTCCCACTATAAGATGGCAAGATATCCAAGGAGATCGAACCTTCGCCAATTTTCCTATGGATCTTATCTGCAAGTAGATAAACAGAAGATCAATCACCAGGAGAACCACAAATGTATAATTATAGAAGACTAAACTAACAACCCACGACAAACAAAATTGAAATATCCGGAAAAGGGTGGACGCTGCTAGTGAATCCCAAATAAAATTGGTTTGCTTCGTCTTAAAAAGAACAGAACACAAAGCAGCTTTCAAATGCTTCATTGTGGAAGAACAAAACAAAAAAGTTCAAACAAAAGCAATATCATAACATTCAATAAAGTTAGACCATGACTCTCTTAACGATCTAAGCATACACTTTTAAATGAAGGCTTTGAAAAAAGAAGGGTTGTGTAAATCGGGGTATATATCTTAGGTTGCATGAAAACAATTTCAAAAATAACATAATAGCCTGCTAAGTGGTGATTTAGTGAAATTACAGCGAGGTGTTAAATTCTCTCCAAGAGCAAACATGTAATGTCCATCTTTGTCATCATCTCGCCATGGGGGAGAGCCTTTTTGAGCCAATCCTTTTAAATATAAACCGGAATGGTCTGTGAGTAGTACTCTTGAAGGTCCCATGCTCGTCCCATTTCCAACATCTTGTCCAAAATACAATCCTGACTGCGCCTACACACAGCCATTCATTCATTTTCCGCTAAGCAAACAGTAACTAATAAAAGGCCACTCCTCCACAAAAATTCACTATTGTCAAGAATGCTTCCAGTTTGCTCAACCCAAACAACAATGTCAAAGCTTTTAGGCAACACTAACTTGTTATCAGCAAACTATTCATGTCTAGCCATAAGAACCATAAATCATAATAGCCAGAAGCATCTTTCATACATAGACCAGAGTTATTTGACATCCCTCAATGATCAACTTATATAGAAGCTGAATAGTTCATCTCATGAAAGACTGATCCATTCGCACTTTTACACTTTCTGCATTTAGAAAGCAATGCTACAGATTTCAGGCAATGGAACCATTTTTCTCAAACCCGCCAAGAATCATTATTAATTTTTACACATTTTTCCAAAACTTCCAGAAGCCCTCCAATCCCTTTTCTCTCCACATACTTCCATCTCACTTGGAAGCAATAAATCAGCTTTTCATTCAACAAAATTCAGCTGGAATCTCATCTAAACAAGAACATCACAATGAACCATAAGGGAAGGAAAACCCCTGAAGCTTCAATCATAAGATCATATCAGCAATTGTCGATACCGAGAATCGATGACCAAATGAAGAGAGACAAAAAGGGAAGCTGTTACCTTGGGGTGAGCTTGAGGGAAATCCCAAGCGAATCTAGGTCTCTTTCTGGGACGACGATCCATGTGATTATGAGGGAACTCAGCGACGTAGTCCGTCTCCATCAGAGGGTGAACAAAACCCATAACCCTAAATTCATCAGTAAAGCCAGGAATTGAACCAATTCACTTTGGGGATCAGATTTAGAACAACGGATTTTGCCCTAACTATTAGAGAGAGATTTTGTTCTTCGGCAATTTTCTGTTTCTTTAATTTTTTTTTTCCGCTCCTTTCTGATTAGTTGATCTCCACCGTTAGATTAGCTTCTACCCGAAGTTCGGTTTGAACCTACTCGATATTTAACCCTGGTTAAGTTAAGCTATTTTCTCACGCAATCTAATAATTTTTAATTCCTCCTCTCTAGTCTACTGTTTTTATTTTCTTTCTCTTTTCCTCTTCAGTAAGGGTGGACACGTGGGTAGTTAATCTGCGGATTGATATCGATCCACCCGCAAATAATCCAACCCGTACGCAGTGGGTGATAAATCTCTCACCCGCACTTATGTGGGTGAGTGATGGGTGGATTGCGGGTCAACCATATAACTTGCATCCTATTTTTACATGTAAAAATGTTGTTTCATATAGTATCGAATATTCATCATATTTTTGAATTACACTATAATCTGACATATATTTCAAAAGGTGGAGAATAAAGAATATTTTTGACTACTATTGTTGGTTATTGTGTTGTGCAATATCCATTAGATAATGGATATTGGTATGCAAATTATTATTAATATCCATTAAATATTGTGATGCAAACTATAAATTATTAATTGTATTAAAATCACAAATTAGTGATACAATCATACTAATTTGCTATGAACTTATTATAAATGTTAGTCAACTTTTTTAATGGCTAGTTGGAGAATTGCTTTTGCGGGTTGACCTGCGACCCAACCACACTCATCCGCCACCCACTCAACCCAACTCGCAGAAGTATGTGGGTGGATTGCGGGTCACAATTATTCCCACTCGGTAGTAAGCGAGTGGGTCAATTTTAGACCAAAATCCACCCAACCAGCCCATTGTCCACCCCTACTCTTCGGTGGTGGGTTAATTCCTTAAATATATATTATTTTTATTTCCCACGAATATGACGATTTTAAAAGTATTGACACAAATATTGTGTTTTGGAGGGAAGATATAGCGAGTCCGCGCGAGTCTCGAAACTAGTTATTCGACAGCGAATCCGCCCCAGACTCAAGCGAATGCGCTATAAAGCGGACCCGTCCCAGTCTTATGTGTATTAGCCAATCCTCTTTGCTCTTATCTTTCGTCTTATCCAACCCTCCCACATCAGAAACCACAAACCCTCTCCTACTATTTCCAAAACCTATTTGCTCCTTCCTTGCGATTCAGCCCTAGGCTCGCGCGGGTCCGCCGTCCCTCTCTTCCTAACCTCACTCTCAAGCGGGTTCGCCTTCCTCTCCTCCTAAAACCTCTCAGGCGGAAGAGCTCCAAAACCAGATCTGGTTTTTTTTTAAGATGTCTTACTCCGACGAAAAACAAGCGGGAGCCGGAGGAAGAAGGGGTTGTGGAAGAGGACGGTAAGCATACAGCGGTGGCAAATTTTTTTTTTTTTTTTTTTCTTTTGAATTTTTTTAGCAGTTCCTAGACTTCTGGACACTTATTACACGAGGGGACCACCTACGACAATTGATCCAGCTCCAGTCGATTCGGTACTTCTTTGGGCACATGGTCAACATCGTGCCAACTCGGTTTGGTAAAACGAGGTAAGTATTTCATTAAAGTTCATTAGCTAGTTAGATTAGATGTTTAGATTTTTACTAGGTGAACTAAAATTAGAATTATGTGTGAAATGTTTTGAAATTAGTATAAGTTTACATTAGATAGATGGTTATATTATATAGATTTTACTAGGTGAACTGAAATTAGAATTACCCATGAAATTGAATTAATATAGGTTGGGATCCAGTTTACCAGATTCAAGGTACGACCAATATAGTCGCGTACCATCCATATTATCATACGTACCTCGTCGAGGCGGGCTTGTTTAGTGTTCACCGATTGGCCCCTATGACTGCTAATACATGTTTGATCACTACGCTCGTAGAGCGTTGGCGACCCGTGACATCGACCTTTCCAGGGGCGGACCTACTTGGGAGAATGGTTTGTCAGTTGACCTTTCCATGGGTCGGGGTTAAACCCAAAATTTGAACAAAAAATTTGTGGAAAAATTTATTTTAGGGATGGTAGTATTTGGATTCAAAAGTATTTGACAACCCTTAGATGTTTTGGTCTATAGGTGAATACCCTTGATGAAATTTCTGGGTCCGCCACTGGACCTTTCACTTGCCGGTTGGTGTGGTTATGATCATTCTAGAGGATGTTGCGACACTGACCGGTCTACCGATCGAAGGTGAGCCCGTCATAGTAGACATACCATATGAGGAGTGGTCGGCGACGTGTATGAGATTATTAGGACATGCTCCTGCTGATCTTTCCGGCGGTGCTGTTTGGATTGGTTGGCTCAGGGATAAATTCAATCATCTTCCGACAAATGCATCATCAGAGACTACGGAGCAGTTTGCATAAGCTTATGCTCTATCTCTGATGGAGGTGTAATATTTCCCGATCGGACTAGAGCTACGGTTCATCTACAATACCTACTTTTGGTGGAGGATTGGCAGAGAGGTGGACGGTTCGCCTGGGGAGCAGCTGTTTTAGCCTACCTGTACCGTGAGATGGGTAGGTCGGTTCTGCAGATGACGTAGTCCTCTTTCCTAAGAGGTGACCTTGGTGGATGGGTCCCCTTACTGAAGCTCTAGGCGTGGGAGCGATTTTCACGGACAACACCACAACATACAGTGACCGGGGAGCCTATTACCGAGGACGCATATCCACATGATGCTCGATGGCTTCCGGCAAACACCCATCAGCACGGTGACTAGTTTTACCAGTTCAAGTTGCTCTTTGACGAGTTTTAGACCATCGTGGTTAGTATTAGGGGTGTGAATGGGTCGGGGTTTAACCATTTTAATCACCTGACTCATGCACTACGGTTTGGAAAATATTAAACCCAAACCCACCCCAAAAAATTAAAACCCTACGGGTTGTTTCTAATTTGATTGGGTCGGATTGACGATATTTTTAAGTAAAAATCAAACCGAACACTCCATATGTAATTATTCTACACCATAAAAATGTTTTATAACTAATTAAAATTTTAAACGAATAAACTAAGGTGAAATGTATCAAAATTCACAATTATTGTTTAAGTTTTAATAAAATGTAGTTTACTTCAACATATGTCTAGTTTTTTTTCGCGATATTTATTGAAAGAGGCTAAAAATGTTATAAACGAACGCATCCATAATATGTTATTCTATTAAAATTGTACACACAAAAAAAAAGAATTACGTTAATCATAGTTATATTAAACATGCCGAAGTATCTAAATTTTTCCATAAGTATGGCTATATATAACATAAATATTTTTTGGATACACGGGTCAGGTCGGGTTCTACGGGTTGTGCAATCCAAAATCCAAACCCAACCCAAAAGAGGCGAGTTGTACAAAAGAAAACTCTTACCCAACCCAAAACCTTAGTTTGAGCGATAAATTCGGGAGGGTTTGGTTAGGTTGGACGGGTGGGTCGGTTTGCGGTGTGTTTGTTCACCCCTAGTTAGTATATAAGATTTCATTATATAATAGTTTTCATTTGTTTGTTTTAGATTTCGGAGTAATCATGTGACAACTTTTTGTGTCTAGTGGTGTCTTTAATTGGAGAGAGGCGAGCAGTTCAGAGGTACTGTGATCCAGTCATACGTTTTGAGCAGTAGTTCCACTTATCTGCTTTTCAGCAGTGATGTGGCACTATCCAAATCGCGTGCTCTGACAATTTGGCTTGCTGCAGAATAAGCCTCATCAGCCACATAGTGAGCAAGAGATTAGGTTTTTCCTTCGCCAGACAACTTGTGGGTCATCGCGTGGGCAACAGTTGATACATGCCATATAGTGAGGAGACTTTAGCCTACCAGTCGGAGCATCTGGAGTGGCATCGAGTTGTTACCAGACGTATAGTCACACAGAGGGCAGCAGGAGTGAACGCAACGGTTAGTTATTAATTGTTTCATATTTTTGTTTTAGTTGTTTGGAAATTCGTAGTTGTGTAAAATCTTTGATATTTATATTTAATTTTCAGTACGACACCAAGGAGTACGTTGAGCTGAGGTTACGGGATGGAGGGCTGTCCAACGATGATATGATGGAGTTGGCTGACATGATGGCAGAAGGGGTTGCTGCTTTAGGTTTGGATGATCGATGACATCCTGATGTGACATTACTTGTACAACGACATCCATCTGAGAGCAGCATTGCCAGTTGGCCAGAGCGCATGGATCGGAGACATGATTATGACGTGCCAGGGCCACAGTTCATAGAGGAGCCCATGAGGCGTATTAGTAAGGATTTATTTAGGCAAAAACCTTAGAAAGTAATGACGATACTGGCCCCTTCTCACTCACTAGGTTGAGGAAGGGTTAGCAGAGGTGGATTTCGAGAAGAGGCATGGAGAGGTGAGAAGTCGCACCAGGGTGGACGAGATCGAGTGGAGCTCGGAGAGGATCTAGAGGCAGATTTAGTTAGTTATTTTATATTCATGATTTTGAATATATGTGATGGAGATTCAAGGTTCAAAGTTGGTTTAATTCACCCACATAGCCATAACTTTCAAGGTTTTGACAAATATAGCCACTTTTTGAAAAATACACTAAAATAGCCATTCCGTCAAAAACTTTAACGGACTAACTGCGAATGCTGACTAGACTAACGGTAGTGATTGACGTGGCATGTTTTTTTAATTAACTAAACAATAAATAATAAAAGAAAAGGCCCAGTGAAAATTATCCTTTTCTTTTAATTAACTGAAAACCCTACAATTTATGTTTTGTCCGCCGCTAAGACTTCCCTTCCTGTTCTTCTTCATCTTCTCGCCACTGCCAATCCTCTGTCGTTGTACCCACAAGCTCTTTTCCCTTAGCCTAGTGAACAAGAAAATGCATTTCTCAACGGCCCATCGGAGAAGAAAGAGAAGAGAGG